GGAGGGGGGGGGGGAATGATTTGTTTGACATTACCACCACATTGGATGACAGACAAAATTTCGATCAAGATAAAAACTTAAAAAGTTGTTAAGGCACAATGACAAGGGAACACAAAAGAAAGAAATACAATATTTATCCAACGTAGGAACAAAAACTTTTTTAAAAAACCCAAATATATCAGTCACAGTGACAGCATTATATGCACATACAAAGAAAAATGGAAGCATTTTGAGACAGCTTGGTTTTGTGGAAACATTTTTATATTTCATAACGTTACAGCTGAACGTGTATATATAGTCTCGAGCTTACTCACTGAAGTGGCTGGAATTTCCAATTGAAATGAAGAGCCCTTGTGCCACATGGGTCTGATAATATTTGAATAAATAGAAGCACATCAATTCAACCATTCAGCGCATGGAAAAGGCAAGATAGACAGACAGAAATAACAAAGGGAAAGAAAAAAAGTATGACCTGCCAGTGGTGCCCTCCAACCATCACCAAGTCTCATAATGACAAAATAATTAGTCAAAAAGGAATAGCATAATTCTCCAAGGAAACAAAACTTGTCAATGACATTCATACAAAAACACTGAGACTATACAGAGGGGTGGACTGAATCAAAACATATTTTGAGTGAGTGTGAGTGAAAAGAAGCACATCAACACAATAATGGTCACCTAGTGCAGGGAAAAAGAAAGGCAGACAGAACCAAATTGAGAGAAAGAAAAGAAGAAGAACCTTCCAGCAGCTCCCTCCAATCGCCCACTCATTTTTAGAAAAGTCATCTTAATTAAGTAAACTGACCAACAAAGTTGAACAAGCCACACACTACCACATACATCCTCCCTGGAGAGGTCTCCATTATTAATTCTGAACAAATTATACTTTTTTTTTCATCACCTTACCTAGGGCTTTTTATTCTGAGATCTTTAACATGTTTTTTGTTTAAGGAAGTGTTTTACAGCACTTGCAACACTATGACGTCATATATATAAGTGTCAAAGATTAGATGTGTTACAAGCAAGCAACCAATAAAAAAAAAGGAGAAGGGATCAGGACGACAGTTGTTTGATAGGAAAGAAGGAGCAAACCACACCAGATCACCCGCCTCCAACATGTGTCAGTTGAAGACTTAAGGGACCCTTGAGTTTGTTGATTTTGGGTCAGGCTATGTAAATTGAGATGTTGGCTGATTTTTGAAGATCAACCAGTTCTTTGTCTAAAAATAGCATTAAACAGTCTTAATTCTCCTCGTAAATTGTCTTTGAAAACATAAGGGAGAGTTATTATAGTGAATCTTCACAATAATTGTCGTTTTTAGAAAAATGTCATTTTTTTGCAGTTTTTTCCCCCACTCCTTCCTTAATTTTCATCCTTTTGACATGAAACTTTCAGCAAACATAGATGGCAAGGCTGCCATCAATGTAACAGAGAGATATTTGCGAAAAAAAATAACACTTTTCCATTGGCAAGCGATTACGCAACCTAAATTTAGAAAAGGTTTTTTATACTTTGGGAAAATTCTTTTCTTTTTTCTTTTGCATTTATTGAAAAAAACTCATTGTTACGCTGATAGGGTCTGGTTCAGGTATACTCTCACCAACTTTGGTAAAATTTGGTCATTAAATAAGAAAGCCTTAAGGATTGGAAATTTATTGTTAATTTTCAGAGAGGGCGGCCGTTTCCATAGCAACCGCTGTAGCTATGTCAAAATAAATTGCTTATCAAGAGACTTTTGTTTTTGTAGAGGTTTTACGGCGCTCGCCACTGCGCAAGGTCATATGAGCGCCATCAAGAGACTTTACTACGCCTAACTTACGTGTGTACTTAGACTTGATTTCAGGTAACAAACATAGATAATGGGCCTCAAGGGTAGCTCCTCCCGTTAAGCAGATCTCTATAAATCATTAGTGAAAAATTCCCTTAATAAACTGGATAAACGGTGAATCTTTAAAAAAAGAGGCCCCATTGCACCCCAAAAAAATTATTTTAAAATACTATGACAAGAACAAATTTTACACCAAAATAGCAAAACAATTTTGTTCAGGCTGCATAATTACTTTCCCATAATGGCTATCAACAATATCAAGACATGTATGTAAGTCAAGAAACGTAGCAAAAGTAAATGAAAACAAAATAAGGACTCTTAAGGAGGGAGGCAGCAAGAATGAGAAAACACAACAAAAAGCTTTTATTTAAATCTTTAAAAAAAATACGATGAGAAAAAAAAGCAAATGGCCCCATATTTTCTTTTTACACAACTGTTCAGGATATGTGATAATGAAAAAGGGGGCATAATGCTGTGTCATGCCAGTTATCAGGTACTAATCAATAAACTTGCAAGTTCACACACATACACACACAGACACACACACACAAACATGTGCACACACACACATACTCAAACACACACACACACAGACACAGAGTCCTGAATTAGTAAGAAATCAGTACTTCCATTGCACCAGCAAGGACAACCAAAACTATGCGCTAGGAACCCCAACTACTTTTTTCATATCCTGTATAAATCGACAGGTTTTTACCCAAAAAAGTTACACAAAATTTATCATAAACAAAAACAGATTCAGCCAGGAGGTCAGGCAGCAGAGGAATTACATGTATACAAATTCCATCTCCCTAATTAATTATCTTGGCAGCCTCGAGAACCAGTTGAATACTTACCACTGAAGTTGACAACAATACACACACACACACAAAAATAAACAAGAACAAAAAACAAAAAAAACAAAAACAAAAAAGAAAGAAAGAAAGAAAAATATAATTTAACAACAGTGTTAATTACCACTGAGGTCAACAGCAACAACACCAACAGCAACACAAGAGCTAAAAGCTTTTTTCCATGAATAATTCAACGAGCAGATTTATGACTGACCAGAAATATGCATGAGCTAACAGGTATGGGATGACTCAGAAGTATCACATGGCAGGACATGTACTGGCCACAGGTCATGTGGAGAGATACCAAAATGAGCTAGAGTAGTCTCCATTAATTACCACCACCGTACTGTAGTCAGATTTTTACATTGTATGTTGCTATCATCCCCCACTGCTGCGAGGTGCTCCTTTTACACAAAAAAATGCGTCATATTTTATTTGACAATCATCTTGCTGTCCCAGCATCCTCAACACTATTGTTCCAGTAGAAAAATTGAGTACAACTTCAGTACAAATTATCCAATCTCAAGTTTGTAGATATTCTCAGTGTATAACGATTATTGACACTAAACCTAAATCAAAATAGAAAGAAATAAGTATTTTCACTTGAATTAAATCATTAAAAGAGTCAATTTGACCCAGACTCGCACATACTAGGTTTTTTCATTTGAAGTATAAGTGCAAAAAAACCTCAGTGTTGTCCTGGTCTTCAGTGAAGCAAAAGTTATGAAATGAGTCACTGTAATGCTGAAATATATACCAAATTAGGTGCCCTTCATCTTTGCAGGCATGATGAATGGCAATAATTTTTTATTGAACAAAAGGGAATTAAATATCAAGCTTCGTAAAACATACGGCAGTATAATGGGTAACTGAAAAATACTGATGACCAGTTTCCAAAAGTATGTATGTCATGGAGCACTATAAATATATGCAATACTTTGGGTTCAGCACTCTGAAATCACATTAAGGCGTTTACTGAGAGATCAGATGATATCAATTTGTAAGTCACAGTGAGTAAATAATGTACAAACAAAAACAAAAGAGAGAAGAAAACTGAGAAATACTTTCAGTTTCAGAGACACAGTTAGACATATACACACATTGATATTGACAGTCAAAGGCTTTTACTTCTTGCTTTCAGAATTTAAGTACGAAGCAACATACCAAAATACCTTCTATCACAATTTAATTCTGGGCATTGTGAGGAAAAGTTCACGAAAAGAAAACTGACCATATTGGAGAATTGAGAAGTACCATCTCTAAGAATGCTTAAGTTCATTGACAATAGTTTACAACTGACAATAACCACATTTTGAGAAAAATTTCAATGGCTTAGAAAAAGATTGATAAACTTACCATACTGCTGTAACTGATCAAGGTGAATTGAGCAAAAGAGAGGGAGGGAGGGGGGTGGGGGGGACCCCCTATGGACCTGCACCAACATGCTCCCCGTTGCTATATCTAGGTATTTTGTTTGGTCCAAAGTTTCAGAATTTACTTGATACCAATACGAGGTGTACAGATGACTACAATGAAAGAAGGAAAGGGCGACTTTCTCCTTTTGCCAAGTCTGTTGATTCATTTAATCCAGTGTCAATAGATGCAAGGTTCAGGAAAGGGCCAATGTTGAAAATTTGCTCCTGCCTCCCTGTTGAAAGTTGTTCTTGATTTTTGCACAAAGCAACATCACCATTTGCAGCAGGAAAACAAAAAGAGCACAACACAAAAACAAAAACAAATTGGAAAAGACAAAATATGTACTAGGCTACAAGCCCTAAAGATAATAAAATATCCCTTGATATGGCAAAGATATACTTCACAGCCTCGAGGAGAGAAACCATTCATAAATATACTTTTGATAACCAATTCCCTTCTATGAAGGGTTAGCAGAAAATCAAATCAAATAATTAACTGATGAATATACGAAACATAAAATCGATGTGGTAGCATACCTTTGAGAACAATAACAAAATAATGATAAAATGTATTATTTTGACAATATGAAATGAGGTTCTTCAGTTTGGCTAATCTTAGCTATAGCTCACAGCACAACATATTCATTGAATTTCTTTTCTTTGAATTGTAAATTCCTCATTTCAATGGCCACAAGTTATAGTAATTTCAATACATATGAGCAACTATCTTTGTTTCAGCATCTGTTATAAAACTGCTGACTGAGACATATGTGGCACTCAGTCAATGTTCCAGGAGACCCCAAAGAGCATGGCAAAAAGAGACAGTGAAGGAATTCAAGAGTAATATGATTTAAGCACAAAGGGGAACGCTTTTCATATGTTACAGGGTAATCACTACAGCACTGAATCTTTCAGCCAACATGCTTCAATTTTTTCTTAGAAATAAACAACTCTGAATTACTATTAAATAAATACAGTAGTGAACAGTGTTTGTCTTAGGAATACTTTAAATTTACTTCTGAGATATTAACATTGCACCAACAACAGACTAGACTTAAGAATATGTACAGACATTGTTACAAGCAGCGATCTTAATATTGCACCAGTGCCCAATATATACCCCTCTTAATGATAATGAAGAAGATGTAACACCACCATGAAAAAAGAGAGGAAAAAAACACAATTTGGCAAGAAAATTCCACATTAGCAATATACTGTAACTTAAGAAAGACATGTAGAGCTGTAGAACATAGCACGATGAATAGGGTACTTTACGCTCAGCAGCTCATTCCCAGCTCATCCACTTCCTTTTCTCTCTCCTTCTCCACATTGTTCTGCTGTGCTTTCAGGTACTCCGTGTACATTTGACGCGCATGGTGCAGCACACGCTGCGCATTGTGTCGACGCACAAGCCGGTCAAAGTGCATGGCAATCTCCTCGTAACACATGCCATTGCGCACCACTACGTCCCTGTGCATGGTGAGCAGTGTCAGACACAGGAACATAAGGAAGGGGTTCCCTGAGCCAAACTCCTGCGGGGGAGGAAGACGCGACGGGTCCCTGATCACGGGCTTGGCACTCGGGCTGGATGGCGTGGTCTGTGCACTTCCTGTAGAACTCTCCAATGACTCGGTGGCTTCCTGGCATTCTGAGAGGTGCGAATCAGAGTAATTTTTGGCCATGGCTGAAACGTCCTTATTGCTAGACACACCATGTAGAACAGGAGCTGAGGGTACGTGTTTAGGAGGCATGCCTTTCTTCGGAGACGCCCCAGGAGATGTGGGAACATCAGGTGTCGTATGGCTAGTAGACCGGCGTATAGGCGAAGCCAGCAATCGCTTCATGCTTTGAAAAATTCCAGAGTTTGAATCAGAATTATTGGCTACAACTGCTTTAGAATTGGCAGGTGCCTCCGCTTTGATGTAGACTACATTACTAGTGGTAGTCTCTGGTGTTGTTGGGACAGAGCTCAGCTCGCTGGACTGGTCATCCTGTCCGCAAGTATTCTCCGAATTGTTGCTGTTGGTGTCCAATGACAAAACGAACTGCGCTTGTAGTTCAGAGCCATCAGAAGACTCTGAGACAGCTGAGCTCACACTCCAAGTGCGCTCCCCATTCGATTTGGTGAAATGGAAGTCCGAGCTCTCTTCTATAGGAATGGAATTACTGGGTATATGCATACTGACACCGCCATATTCACTGTCCTCGGGCACTATGGTATCCAAACTGTCAAAGCCATTTTCCTTGGGGCTAGAATCAACTCCACTCCCTGGATTATCAAGATTGTTCTTTTTCGAATCTGAATCCGTATCACAGCTACTTTGACTTGTTTTATTCTCATTCTCATCATCAGCATCTTCATCATCATCATCACCAAGGCAAGATCCCTCCTGTAGAACCTGATCAATACTGCTGGATTTCTTCTGCAATGACCTTGTGAGAACGTTATCAACTTCTGGAAAATCTGATCCCTTGTCTTCTATATCTCCTGGAGACGTGTCAAACGAGGACATGACGCTTGTGTTGTTGGAGCTATCATGACAGCTCTCGAGGCTCAGGTTGTTGTTCGTCGAGGGCCGAGGTGCGTGAAGGGTAATTGGCTTGGCAGCCTGCGCTACCCGGTGCAGGGCCCCGACCCGCCTCATGGCCAGGAGTTTGGCGTACATGGCTTGTTTGATAGAGAAGGATGGGGTGCAAGGTGAGGTGGACAGTAGACGGCATGAGTAGACAGGGTCAACCAATTCTAGCTCCGTTTGGGGTGGGCTGGGTGGCAGCGTCGCCCACATGACCTCCAGAACGTACAGTGCATCAGAGAAGGGAAACTCCCGCTTTAGCTCCAAAAGGAACCAGCGGTAACAGAAAAACATATCTCCGGCAGAGTTCTGCTCTAAATATGCGTGCAGTTGAGGATCGTACATAGCCAGAACCTCAGACAGATGCCGGAACTTGAGCATGATGGCTGTGCCCTCCACCGTAAAGTTCTCCCTCAGTCGGTTCATCAGAGCGCAGAAGCAGATAGACGCCTGACCCTCATCTTTCTGAGTGACCAACAGTGGTGATGCCAGGTCGCTCATTCCCTGGCAGTAGGAGACATCCGGGTGCGTCAAGGCATACGTGACCAGCAGGTGGAACAGCGACAGAGTGTTCTCATTATCTTCGTTGTCTTGACTCCCCTTGTAGAAGTCGTGAGCGCGGTCTGTGCGGAGCACATCCTTCTTCACCATACTAGTCACGTACTTCACCTCCTCCGTAGCCGTATTGCTCTTGAACTTTTCTCTCCACTCCTCTCGCAGACGCCTGTACTCCTCCCCTTTTCGCTTCATGTATTCGTAACGGTCATTACCCGACATGTTTGCTGGGAAGATGTTGAGCAGATGCCGCCACGCCACTCGTCGTAAGGAGGGTTCGATCCCTCCCTGGTAGATGGACAGTCGGAATTCGTTGGGTCTCATCATGAAGCCAGCGCTGTCGAGGTAATTGTGGAACTCCATGTCAGACATCGGAGGCTTGATGGGTTTGATGTCACTGTCAGATTGCTTGAAGCCTGTCAGAGGTAATCACAACCAACAGTAAAAATGTCCATTAGGGAAACAAACTTAACAAATGTTATAGCAATGATATCCATCGAGCTGTGTAAACCTCAACACATAAGAACATCTCTCTGAACTGGACACAGTAAATTTTATGAAATTTTTATAATGGAAAAGTGAAACACTGATTCACAATTCAGGGGTAGTTTTGAATGAAGAAAAAAATCCACTACTACCTTCCCAACTCTTTTACTATTGACCCGCCAATGTTCTGACAACTTTGGTATTATTACAATACAAATTTATCACACAATAGAAGACAAATCGATCACATAGAATACCAGAAAAAAACTAAGGTAAAAAGAAAGAGAAAAATACCAGAGAGAAAGGAAAGTAGATACAGCGAGTGATGAGAGAGAGGACCTACAATAGCCTATTAACTCTTTGGCTACCATGGGCCGATCCATCGGCTCCATAACTTCCTAGTTCGTGGCATTATCGGCTCGCGCTTTTCTTTCCCTTTCCCTTCCACAATTTGACTCAACCTGTCAGTTTCATGTTTTTAACTGCTCTGCTTACCATACATCAGTCAACCGGTGAAGGAATTTGGCGCCTTTTGTGTTTTATTCTGCTGGTTTTTTTGGGCATTTTTGCATGTTTTTTTTTACCCGCCCTGTGTTGCTCAAATTAGTTTACACGCATAGCAACGGCAAAATGGCTGATAACCCATTAGGTTCCCGCCCGTCACAACGTTTTTATGCTTCAAAAGCCCTGGAAAAGTTTGATGGGGAACTGTCAGTACTTTCCGATAGTGATGTAGGAGGGGATGAAGTTAGACCTGAGTCGGACAGCAGCGACAGCGATGAGAATGAAGATTCGCAAAGAGGGGCGTGTGTGCAGGTTTTTTTTCTTTTTTT